AGCCAGGTCTTGTCAAAATTAGAACTGCTTTCCAAATTTTTGTCTTGCAAGTCAATTTTGGCCCATAGGTCTTCTGTTCGGTAGGCTTGATGGTGTGAGATTCTTGTTTCCATTCCTTCTTGTTGCAATAATCATCACTTTCCTTGTTATACGGCACAATATGATCATCACTCTCACCTGCCGCACCCTATATTATGTTTGGAACCTCCTCATCATTCCAATCAAACATGTCTAAAGAAGCCACAGTTAATCGCAAAAATGAAACCGAATTCAAACCATTTCAAATAAAGTTGATGATCCAACATTGTAGCACTTTTAACTACACCAACTTTGTATTAACCTGACAACAAGCTTGCTGGAACAAATGCAACAAGTAACTCTCTGCATTTTACTACTGCTGAAGCTAAACTGTAGTCCCAACAGATTTTTGACTTTGAACTGAGAACCCATAGTAACACACTCACTGTATATGCAAATTACCCCTCCTAAATCTTTACAGAAACTGGCACCAAATCAACCAAGGAGAATGACACTGCAAGAAACCAAATCAACCAAGGAGAATGACACTCCTGATAGTTTCCTAAATCTTCCCAAATACCAAAATTAACCAAGAAGAGTGACACTCCAAGAAATCAAATCAACCAAGGAGATTGACACTCCTGATAGCTTCCTAAATCTTCCCAGATACCAAAATTAACCAAGGAGAATGACACTCCAGGAAATCAAATTAACTAAGGAGATTGACACTCATGATAGCTTCCTAAATCTTCCCAAATACCAAAATTAATCAAGGAGAATGACACTCCAAGAAATCAACATTATAGGCTGTTATAAGCTTTTGAACAATTCAAACCCAATAAAGAGACAGTAGAATTTCAGTGAGGTAGAGAGACAGAATTGGACACCATAAAAGTTGCATAGTTCATGGTTCGAAAATCCAACAAACCAAATGAAGTCCATGACAAACACTGATCTTGAAGCAATGAAGAATCTTGAACCCAAATATCCCAAATATCACACTAATATCCCAGAAAAGACTCACAAGAAAGATGACTTCATGCAACAAACTAATTGAGTTACACATACGCATTTAGTCATCAATTCTTTCAAGAATTTAAAAGAGATAAAGGTTGAGAGAGAAAACTACAAGTCTCTGTCGGTTTGGAAGCCGAAAATACATGAAGATGGTGGTGAAAGATATAGAGACGATGCCAAATAAGATCCTCTAGGAAGCTGCTTGTGAGGAGAAGCTTGCTTCATTGAGCAAGGAAAGATTGATGCACTCTTCCCCAAGATTATCCACCAAAAGGTAGACCACCAAAGATATCATCGCCTTCTGCCAAACAAGCAACTCGTGTGCATACCATAAGCTAGTCAAATATATGAAATTTCATTGACGCATAAGATTGAATACGTGATAGGCAAGAACTCATTAGGAAGAAAGAAGACACAAATTTCAGATTTTAACAAACAAGAATGGAAAGATTCTGGCGAAGCAGCATAAGATTATGAGGAAAAACCTGATTCTGACGAAGACTAATTATCAGTGACCGATTCCAATGAAGGTGAAGAACCCATTTCTGGAAATATCTCCGACTCTGCCTTCAGACCACCGCTTCTCGTTCAACAATGTCACCGTCACTACTTTCCCAATTTTCGACGATGGGTCGCTGATAATTGTTGGAATCGACAGGTTCTTGGATCCTTACTTTAGGATTTCAAGTCCAATTCGCTACTCCCCCAAGAACCTCAGTTGCTTGCCCCCTAAAGAGATTCCCGATCAAAGGATGGAGCTCAGAGGCAGTTACGCTCCCTTTAACCTAGAAATAAATCAACCCAGAAGTAATAGAACGATCGCGAAAGCACCAAAAAACTTATCGAAATATCTAATGAAAATTTGAAGAGAAACTATAAACTGGAAAGAAAAAAAAAATGAAAACAACTAAGAAGTGGAACCACCAGAATCCATGGCGTGAGCTTGGTGGCTCTGATACCATGTTAACTACATTGAAATACCATGTTAATCTATGAATCTATGAAAGATTGAAGAAAGAAACAATGGCAGAAAGATGAACAAGGAAGGAGGATGAAGGAAATGCTCTCTGTATTTATCACAATAGTCGAATACAACTTAACAGAAAATGATCTCTACAACTTCCTTTTCATAGTCATTAGGCATATTGCAAAAGACCCAAATACCCTCACTAACAACCTCTAACTAACTCAATCATATGGTTATTAGAGACGAGTTCCTTACTCGGCTGCAGTCGCAATACATAAAAGTTAGCAGCACGTTCAACACCACCACTGCCATATTCATTCACTCATCGACCAAGCTCGGTCATCGAATTGGCACGCCCCGCATTCAACCAAAGGACATAGTTAACTCATTAGCTATTCAGCTTGTGCGCTACGTAGGCTTGGTAGTTTCTAGGGTCACTCAAAGAACTGACTTGATCAACTAGTAACTTCCTTTGGGAATATGTAGTTCTCACGTCTCACTTTCTTCTACGTAGTTTACCCTTCTATGCTTTATACTGTGGGCACTCTTTACCCTTAAACTTTCCTGACCATTTCAACCATGGTACTGCCTCGCATGATCACACCCGTCATGTGTTGGTCGATGTCAATGGCTCAATGCATAACGCTCTCGCCTCATCTCCGATGAACACCATCTTCGAGCTAATTTGTCTGTTGTAATTTCTACTTGTGTCGTTGGGTAGGTTAGAGTTTTCTAATTACGAATTAGTTATGATCAGTCTTTGACGATCAAATGTCGCACATAGTAAATGGGGTGTGATTATGCTTAATTAGCTAGCAAGAGTTGCGATTAGACCTTAGATTCTTATAATTAATTTGATTTTCTTAGCATTGGAGGTAAATTAAATGAGTTTGACATGAAATTATGAGGTGGGGTTGCTTTATGCAAGTGTAACCCCCGGCATATGAACATGTCTTTACGCTTCCTCTGGATCAGAGAAAGGATACAGAAAGAAAGAGGTAAAGGTTAAAAAGTTAAAAGGGAAAGGAAGAAAGCAAGAAAGGTGATTCCTTATTTGTTCTTCATGTTTGGTTCATTGGTTGAGTAACCTAAAAGAAGGATCTGCTTTCCTTGCCCATTTCCTTTACCTATTTCTGGAACCCAACCCAACCCAACAGATTTGAATAATATTGTGACGTTGCTGCCAAATATTTTGAATACTAGTAGGGGAGGAGCCTACACTTCTACTTTTTACCTTGTAAACATTATATATGGACATTGAAGAGCCCTCCTGTGTAAAAGCAGGAGCAAGTGGATGGCCTATAGTTTTTGGTTGTAATCTGTGACACAGTTTGAATACTATGTTCTTCTATCGTTGGTACAAAAGAAAAAGCGAAAGAAGTTCGAACCTCAACTCGGTATTGGATATATGTGGAAATGGTTGAGATTTGAACTCTTATCTTGGATGTAAGCTTAAATACTCGTTTTTATTGGAGCTATGCATTATAAACCCTAGCAACACGTACTTTACAAGTCGTGTAAAATCTTGGCAGATCTTTAGTGTCACACATTGTGAATGTAATTTGTTATATGGAGAATCATCAAAGATGTGCAGGAAGATGGATTACATAGGGAGTTGGAAGTTGAAGTAACTCCACTTTGTTTACCATGAATAGGAGAATCCAACACCATCAAATACATGATATGGCAACCAGCTAGCACTAACTAAATAGTTTAGTTTGTGGGTGCAAAATACAGCTGTGAGCAAGCAAAAAGCCAGAAGAAACAGTAAACATCATGCAGCAGATGGACACCAAAAACAAAACAAAAATAAAGCTTCCATGATAGCTACCTCATAGCAACCCAACTAGTCTCACCAAATACCCAAAACTACTTTTCTACAACTTTTTCAAGTGCCTTGTTTAGGTAATTTAAAAATACACAACATATTATACAAGAGAAGTGAATTTTTTATTTATTTTTGTTAAGATTTTATAGTTGGGTTTGTGGTTTGTATTAGTTACACCGATATTATCCTAACTTAATCATCTACACAGAAGAACATCTATATAGTTTTATCACAAAGGCTTCGATGCTATTAGTAGGGAAACCATTCAATTATAAATAGTAATATATCTTTTTAAGTTTCCGACATGGGTTTGCATTCTGTTTGTACCATACTTACCAATCCCAAAACTATTGAGCACCGATCAACTCCACACCTTCAGGGACCCACCAAATGTTTCGTGCTGAGACACCCTTGCCGAAACACAAGAGTTTCTCTCCAACCAGAAGGCCAATCACAACGCAACACATATAAACATCAGAATAAAGCTCCTAGAATCCCATATCCACATACATTTTGAGTTTGCTTCTCTATCTTTGTCTTCCTACACATTCACCTACACTAAGTGACCTGAGCAACCATGTAAAGATCACAAACTTGACACTTTATGTCGTTCCAAAGTCTATCCAACTTTGTGCATCTAAGATCTAACACATTCTTTAACAATTTTCACTCCCCATTTTGTCCCCTTCCACTCCTCTCTTGTTTTTTTCAGTCCCTCCATCCACCCTCGATTTATTTGATCGAGTGGGAGTGCAAACGAGTAAATAAGGAGCGTAGATATTTTTTCTTGTAAATTGCCTTACCTATTTCAGCTAGATGGGCTGCTCCACTTGATCCAATATGTATATAAAATCTCAAACCTCCTCACTTATGCTACGTGATTTTGTCTTATTGTAAGCCCACCCACTGATTTAAAAAAATAAAAAAATAATAAAAATTTCACATTAACTTGATTAATTTAGGTTGATTTTGGATTTGTGCGTTTAAACCCTTATTCTATAAGCAATGCCGAGGTGAGCGGAATTGAACATATCTGGCTCGGATTCTAAGCAAATATTCTTAACCATTTCACTACAAAACTACTTTTGGTTTTGGGTGTTGAGCAAAAGTTTTTAACCGTTTGAATTATAAGACCATTTCCGAATCCGAAAAGGAAATATGGCAAGAATATGAAATCAAAACTCCCTATAATTTCTCATATGCCCATATAAAAGGAAATCAAAAACAAAAATGCAATATTGAAAAAAAGAAGGGGGATGGGGGGTAGATTGAAAATATTACACAGGCTTGGAAGCTAGCTAGCTAGAAGATGCATGCAAGTTATGGTATTACTATTACATGATGGAGCAGGCATTAGGGTTATCATCACTGAACATGGTGGTGTAAGGGTCTTCATATTTTGTGACAGTCCCAGTGGAGGAGGGATTGTTGTCCACATTTCTGACATAACCAGGAGGTGCCTTCTTGTCATAAGCCTGAGCAATGTAGGGCTGTGCCACTAAGTTGTAGGGCACATAAGGCCATATCTCCGCCCTCTTCCCTGTTGACTTTGCCTTCTTCAGCACTTTGTTTGGTTCAACATACCCTGTCACAGTCACCTTCTGTTGCTTCCTGTTTATCTCCACAGATTTAACCCCTGCCCAACATTCAACAAACATCTTTTATCAGCTCAAAATTTGGGGTTTGTCTAATTTGGGGATTGTCTGACTTCAGTAGTCTGGACTGAATAGTTGAGAAAAAAAAAAAAAAAAATAGTGCTGATTGTCAATATCCCGCACTGCTGAGTAGTCCGGCTTATTGAAGAAAACTTGCAAAATTTGATGACATTTGTAATTTGCGACGTAAAATACACAAAAAAAAAAAAAAAAAAAATGAAAAACATGCAGAAAAAGAACATACCAGTTAAGGAAGAGAGGGCATTCTTGACCTTAAGCTCACAGCCATCACAGTCCATCCTGACTTTGAGCTCCACTGTCTGTAATTGCTTCTTCTTTTTGTGTTTATACCCACTGTTGTTCACCAGATCATACAAGTACTCCAATGTTTCTCCAACTCCCATTTTTCGAAGCTTTTTTTTAAGCTCAAAAGTTTTCAGTCGATGCCTTTCGACAAACCCTTGGTGAGCAATTATATGAAGAATTTAGGCGCCCCTTGAGAAACTACAAGGAAGGAAGGAAGGAAGGAAGTTCCCCTCCCTTGCTGTTGCCGCTGCTGAACAATTTTATTAAATGGATTCTTTCCTTGCCTTACAACACTCGAACTCTCTCTTTTACTTCGTATGACGTCTTTCTCTCACACAAAGCCCCTACTTCTTATAGAGCCTTTTTATTTTTCTTTGTTTTTTTTTTTTTTTTTCTAGAAAAATAAAAATCACCAGAGGAAAGGTAGTGGGCCACCCCAAACAGGAGGAAACAAAAACCCAGGAACCCAGATTTTTTTTTTTCTAGAGGTTGAATTGATTGAATTTTAAAATGCGATGTATGGGTACTTCACATCTTCGTTTTTTTTAATAGAGAAACCATTTATCCTTGTTGTGGAAGGAACGATACAAGACTACTATTTTTTTGCATTTTGGTTTTGGTTAATCCCCTTACATTTTTTGGTACGTACATACACAAGTTGAAGAAATCTTCCTCTTTATAAAGCACCACTATGTAAGGGCAGGCACATACACGAGTTGAAGACATCTTCCTTTTTATAAAGCACCTTAAGTGGTCAAATTACATTTTTTGTAATACCACAATAAAAATTAAAATTAAAATTAAAAAATTAAAAAAAAAGAAAAAAAAGAAGCTCTTCAACCACTAGCTCCAAAAACGGGTAAAAGCCCCCATCTACATTTAGTTTATACTAAGACCAATGTACCTTAGGTTTGATAGAATCGCAACGGGGAAGCGATGGTGGCTATGAACCCTCCTCTTGGCACCGTTGCCTCTCCAAATCATGTCAAAGTTATGTTGTCATATACGGGTTGTAGATGTTCGTAAAAGCTAAGTTCTCTACTATCATTAGAATTTGATTTGATTATGAAAGATTATTTAAAATTTGCAGTCACAAGAGGAGAGTTGTGTTTTGTAGATGGGCATTGTGAACACGGAAATTTCTTGAAACAAGAACACGTGTACAAAATAATATTTGTGTTTAATGATTTTAGGGTTACAATCTCTTTGTAATTTGGTCCTCTGATTCGATCTCCGTAAGATGTTGGTTTGTTGACGTGTTGTTGATCCAAAGGCTATCGAGGCTTGATCTTGGATGAATAGTTGGAAGTTTCTTCAAGGGCCGTCAGGGCTTGATCTTGAAGAACAAGGATGAACAAATCGTCGAGGGCTTTTGGGCTTGATCTTGAAGTTGATCCAAAGGGCTGTTGGGGTTTGATCTTAGGATGAACAGGTGGGAGCTTGTTCAAGGGCCGTCGGGGCTTGATCTTTGAACAATGGTTGTGCGGATTTCTTCAAGGGCTGTCGGGCTTGATCTTAAAGATTGATGGATGAGCGAATCTTCAAGGGCTTTTGGGCTTGATCTTGAAGAACGATTGGATGTGTGGATTTGTTGATGTTGTTGATCCAAATGGCCGTTAGGGCTTGATCTTAGGATGAACGGATGATGAACAATGAACACTTTCTTCAAGGGTCGTTGGGGTTTGATCTTGAAGAATGGTTGTGCGGATTTCTTCAAGGAGCTTTTGGACTTGATCTTGAAGGTTGATGGATGAGCGGATCTTCAAGGGCTTTTGGGCTTGATCTTGAAGAACGGTTGGATGTGTGGATTTGTTAATGTTGTTGATCCAAAGGGCCGTTGGGGCTTGATCTTAGGATGAACAATGAACACTTTCTTCAAGGGCCGTCGGGGCTTGATCTTGAAGGAGGATTTGACGAAGAACAAAGAGGGCTTTCTTGATCCTTCAGGATTTGCTTGAGAGCTTTAGAGTTTCAAAGCTTCAAGGTTTTGGTGTAATGTGAATTGGTTGATTTTTTTTTTTTTTTGGATCTTTGATACCTTGATGGAGAAGCCCATTTATAGGCTTTGAGAATGAATCACCACCACAAATTTTCTTGGTGAAGTAAGTGGATGATGTAGGTGAAGTGAGTGGATGTTGTAGGTGAAGTAAGTGAATAATATAGGTGAAATGAGTGGAGGTTGTAATTTTAATGCATTGGTCAACATTTATTTTACCGAAATTTCGATGTCTACAGGCATATCTGCGACTCGTTGTGTTCGTTTCAGTGTAATCATATTCCAAGAAATTGTAATTGTGTGGCAAATCAGTTAGTAAAGCATGCTCTTTCAAAATTGTATTGTATGGTGTAGCTCACCAATTAGCAAATGGATATTTCTTTTTGGTCACTCTTTCCTCATTCACGACTTCAAACATATCATTAAGTTTAAGTTAGAGTTTTGTAACCAATGAAAAAGTAGTGAAAATGTAAATCTAAAATTGAAAATACAATGTATCGGACTGTAAATATCTCAAGATAAAGGGACTTGTTACAACCCGTCCCTAAAATTACGTGTTGCTCCCTAGGGTATTTTTGTCAATTCCCTCAATTAAAATAAATAAAAACGTAAATTTAAGGGCTTATTTCAGATGAAAATGTATTTGAAAAGTCTAAGATTGTTAAAGGTCCTGGACATGTTTCTCCACCGAGAAATACCAATCGGTTTTCAAATGAAAATGATAAATGTTGACAACAATAGTGGAAGAACCAAATCAACATCTACGTTTGCATTATCGTGTATCATTCTAATGGTGCAAACATTATGGCCATTTGCCGTAGCAAAAGACATTATCTACCCATGAGTTATTTTCAGCCTGTCTTATTCCATTTTAGTTGAAATTTGCGAGTATTTGTTTGACGTTATTGCCAAGTCATCAAGAAATCATTCGAGTGGTTATAATTACTTTCTGTGTCCGAATGGAGATGGAAAATATCACCATAAGCTCCTGGTATGGGGTATCTTGCACATGTGGAGATCATGATGATGTTTTTGTGATTACTGATCGACTTGACAAATTACCCCACGTTCCATTGGTCCAAATGGAGTACATTTCTGACCACCTGGTAAAATTACTTATTTTTGAATTTGTCGGATTTTCTGGCACTTCGATCAGCATCTACATTGATGGTGATTCCATATTCACCTCTTTGTGCTGGAAGACATTCTAATAATCCTTGAATACGTGTCCACACAACTGCACCTCGTATTATTATTATTTTTTTTTTTTATGTAGACAGACTGTATAGAAAACTTCTCGACGCTTAAATTTAGTGTGATCATTAATTCCTCAATCACCCAACAAATACTTAGTTGAATGAATCTTAATCTTTGGTGATTGAATATTCCAGAACTACTAAGGTAGCGAGATGTTATACATTAATTCCAATTACCTTATATTCTAGATTTGTTGGACTTGTTTTGACCATCAGATTCTTGGTTATTCTTTTAGCCTTCTCGATGCAATTTTTCGCTAAATTTGAGAGGAAAATTCAATATAAAGCTACTCACCAAGACATCGTGGACTACATTGTTTGACTACTTAGTGTGCATATCACGATCGCATCTCTTTGTGGCACTCGTTTGATTTCCAAATCGTGGGAAGCCTTTTTGAAGGTTATGAGTACTAAGTTTTGTTTAGTACCACATTTTCACCCTTAAGCTAATGATTAATCTGTAATGAGCTACTCAAACCTTGGTGGACATGTTGCATTTTGTCCATTCATTAGCATGGTTGTAATGCATAGTTATCTTTATTTTAGTTGGTTGTAACTACGGTTACAATTTTTTATTTTGAGTATGGCATTGTTGAGACATATTGTGAAAATTTTATCCATAGCACATGATTGATAGAAAAGTATTGTGAACCGGTAGTTGAATGATTGAGATTACAATGTAACAAATTGTGTGTTATTTGCGTTGTCGACCAGGAGGGCAATACGTGAGCGCGATTGAGGCACTAATTGGATGATTTATGCGTATTTTCCCAATGGGGGGCATGATGGTAAAACTGCACCCTCGGGAATTTGTTACTCACTTATCGGGACAACAATGAGTTATTAGTATTACGGGCTGCAGACCGTGATATTGATAACTTAATTGTTGAACTTGTTAAGCAAGTGGACATCTAGGTCCGTCTACGTTTAGTTGTTTATTTATTGTTTGGGCTTAACCCAAAGATACCACACACTCATCTTTGGGACATGTGACACCTAAGGGTGTGTAGGTGAAGTTTTTCTATTTTCGGTGTTGTTTTCAGTACAACTATTTTAACTTCACTAATTTATATATGTACTTCGACGTTACATTGTTATACATCTATTTTTCCACTTTATGTTTTTATAAAGGACTATATATTTTAGTATTGTACTGAAGGAGAATGAAAGTTTGAGTTTACAGGCATGAAAGAGGGATCATTGAACTTCGATCGTGACGGAATGGCAATCTCTTTTATACAGCTGCACTAACTTGATTTCTTCTTTATACATTTTCTTTCTATCTTGAGTATTTTATGCGGAACAAGTGTTTTTTTTAAATTTCGGGGACGAAATTTTTTTAAGGTGGGTAGATTGTTACAACCCGTCCCTAAATTTACATTTTTATTTATTTTAATCGAGGGAATTGACGAAAATGCCCTAGGGGCAAAACGTAATTTTTCGATGACGTATTTGATCCTCGTATATTCTGTCATGTTTCTTGACATATTTGGGTAGAGCTCAACCTCACGAATATGTAGGCCCAAACTGTTCGTGAAATGGAGTTATAACGAAGGAGTTATTAATGAGTGAAGTGGAAGGCAAAATAGATAATTTACCATTTAATTGGAAGGCTCCAGAAAATCTGGAGTAATGGGATGAGCCACATGTGTGGCTAAGATTAAGAAGAGAAGTGAGATGGACAGAGGAGATGAAGGAAGCAAGGAGAGAAGGAGATGGCCAATCGAGGGAGAGAACAAGGAAAGGAAAGGAAAGAAAGGGGAAACGGGGGATTCTTGACCCGTGCCCTTTTGACCCGGCCCAATCGGCTCCTTACTCTTCCGACGGCTTTCCGCCCATTTTTCCAATGAATTACATCAAACCATCAGTTGGAAAACCCTCCATGATCTTCCCTCTTCCTATTACACCCCAAAAAATGAAGGGATTTGGCCTTGAAATTAGGAGAACCTGCACTGTGGGGTACGACGGCTTTGTGTTTGAATCACCTAAATCTAAAGCTAACTACATGCATCTCCACCACCATTAGACTTCTATTAAGGCCTGGAACAAAGCCTAAACAACTATAGGGACGGCAGAGCACCGG